ACTCGCGACGACACCGGATCATAGTGCGCGACTTTCTCCGTTAGAGGACTTAACTCTGGCAAGAGGTCCCGCGTCGCGCATACTAGTGAGATGCAGGTCTAGCTCGAAGATATCCTCTGCGTCGAACACACCAGCTACGATGCCTGACTCCGTAAGCAAACGTAATAGATCCTTGACTGCCACCAACCGGTTTATGCAGTAAAATGCTTGCATTTCCTGGCAAGGAGATGAGCTTTGCACACTCCTATAAGGTAATAGCATGGAACCTTATGTGTTGCTCTTCCAATGCTTTTGTAATTCGGCACTCAGATATGGAATGGACAGGTGATGCACTTCAGATTTATTTCGCCCACATGAAAAACGACCAAGGTGGCGATCGTCCACGGGATTCTCGTCATGTCTATGTCAATCCCTTGCAGCCCTCTATCTGCCCCATTCTCGCTCTGGGTCTCTATTGGGCGTCTACAACATTTGATTCAAGTGACCTCTTATTCCCTGGTAGCAGCCAGTATGAGCGATTTTGGAAGTGCTGGCACCGCTTATTATCTGAAGAAGAAGTTGAAGCCGAGCTAAGACGATAGGGCCTTAATCCCAGTGAACTGGGTACGCACTCCATGCGGAAAGGCTCCGCTACATTTTGCTCTTCGGGCTCGACGGCGTGTCCGTCATCGACGGTAGTTCATCTGAGAGCTGGCTGGTCACTTGGCGGTGTCCAGAATACGTACTTACGCTACGAAGCTGCCGGGGACATGCACGTAGGACGGACAGTGGCTGGCTTGCCCACGGAGAGCCACAAGTTTTCTACGTTACCGCCCCACTTCAGTGAAAGCGACGAAACTGTCCAACGTGGGGCTCGCTTGATGTTCCCAGGACTACCGCTAAGGTTGAAGTTCATAGCGGAGTATTGTTTAGCCTCTCTAACCTTTCATCATCGCTACCTGACCCGAGCTATATAACCCAAGCACCCCGTTTTCCTGACGCCTCTTTTTCAAGACGCGGGTCTTCTTTCGTCTCTTACTGAGCGAATACGGTCCGGCGATGGAAGCTCAGACCCCCGCATCCGTCCAACTGGTGTACCACCACATGTGTCGATTTTGTGTGAGATGAGGTGGTTAAAAGAGAGTCTGGTTGCCGCTCTCTCCAAAATTGAGGCAACAAGAACGGGTACAGTAAAAATATTATTACTGAGCTGGAAAAGTGGGCAATTGGAGCGGGCACTGACCACTAACGGTTTAAATGCTGCAATTACGAAGTGTCTACAAGATTGTGGCATTGACGATCTCATACAGAGGCTAAAAGCACCACCAGAACCTCGTACCGACACAGTTGACACAGACTTTGAGCGTACACTAACAGCTGCCTCCATTTCGCTTGCTTAAAGGAAGAGATATGCCGAGTCGTAAGCTGCAAAACGACTGAGCGAGCTCCGGTGTGTAATGAGACATATGGAGAAAGATGATGCCTCGAAGGACACACAAAACAATGAACAGACTATCGAAGAAGCTACGCAAGTCTTCTTCGACTGTGCAGATAGCATCTCAGTCGACCAGACTACTGCTCATTCGCGGAAGCGACGCTGTGGTCAGCTGAGTTGGGCTACAGTTGGCAAACTGCTGCGTAAGAAGCACAAAGCGACTTAGTGCAATAGAAGCTTGATATTTCTCTGTACTTCGAGCCGCATCTAGCCCTCTAAAGTTAAGCTTATGCTTGCAGAACGATAGCTACATGTAGATATGACGTCAAAGTACCGTAAATCCCCTCTAGATTGATCGGGAACTGCCAGCTAAGAATCATTTAACAAGGCACTAAGTGTTAAATTTTAGCTCACATTAAATAATTCCTAATTTTACACTGTTGCGCAGCTAAATCAACTTTGATTTTAAATGTGCACAATCACATTCGGCCTCCCTAAGTATATCCGTTTTCCAGAAATACGCCTAATGCTAGAGATCAGAACGTGAAGACCCGTTGCTCTAGCCGTGACTTGATCTCAAATGAACATCACTACTATACATTCCTCGAATTCCTCACAGCCTCTAAAGCCTCACTTCAGTAAGCATGCAGTTCGAGCCGCCCACCAAGTGACGGTCAACATGACTGATGGTGACAACAGCACTCAGGGTGTCGACGCTAATGGCATTATGACTGGTCGTTGGAAGACTGGACTCTTCGGCTTCACAGACTCGATTGTGCCCAATGGTAACTATGTTTATCTTTGCAACCTAAAGCTTTGAATACCCATTGACAATTCTGGTTTTAATGTGTAGGTGTCATGTCTTGCTGCTGTCCTGGACTCGTGGTGGCTCAAATCTCGGCTCGTCTTGGCCTGATGCCGTTCTACCACGTGCTCGGCTTCTTCGGATGCCTCTACGGTTTGCATCTTATCGCGTTGCTCACTCACAGTTGCTTCTTCGACTTTCTCTCCTGGCTGTGCGCTGTTATCTCGGCGCTATGCATTATGCGGTTGCGCTGGCAAATCCGAACGCTCTTTAGCATCCCCGGCTCGCGCGCTGAGGACGCCGCTTTCAGCTTCTGCTGCGGCTGCTGCTCAGTCGGGCAGATGGCCTCGCAAGTCGAGTCGTACGAACCCGGCTTCTTTAACTTCGCACCGCGTGCCACACTCCCGGGCTACTCGCTGAGCTAGGTGCTCTACCGGTAGGATACCATCTTGAGGTGTCCTAGACACAACTGGAATTCCGCGATAAATTAATGAAATCAACACTTTATATTTACTGCATATCTATGAACTGTGAAGGTTCTTCTGGCATGGTCTCCGATATAAAATACTTGACCCAGGACGTATGATACAGACGGTCTCCCGCTACGCTTCGCGGCCAT